GACGAGCCCGGCCGGCTCGGCGCTGCCTCCCTGCTCTCCCTGCTCACCCTGAACAACAGACAGTGGCGTTAGTTTCAGCTGTGACATTCCCAGTGACCTTAACCGCGTGCAGGAAGGGCCAGGCTAAGCAGCACGAAGCCGGTGCTGCCGTGGCAGTCTCTGAATGATGTCCCACTGCTGCATCGAGCAATGCCCAAAGATTTTAGCTTAAATAACTCTGAAGTCAGCCAGCCCGGCTAAACCCGGCTGTGATGTCACCGACTTCAGCTCTGCCAAACCAACATATTCTTCCAAAAGTGCTTTTCTTCCCCCCCCCCCGACAGATGATAGCACAGTGGAGGGTTTATTTCATTTCTGTCAAAGCCAACGATTTACTAAAGTGTTATTAAACCGGGCTCACAAAAGAAGTAATAACAACCACCACAACACTCTGGCATGTCCCTCTGCCATGGGCAGGGCAGCACACAGGGGCCTGCAGCTGGGACCAGCCCGTGGTGCCAGCCCTCTGGGAGATGCTGCCCTGGAGGAGCCTTGCTGATATTCCTGATCTAACTCCCACTCCTCCCCGTGGAGCAGCAGGAGCTGCTCTGGGACAGCTGCAGTGACACCATTCCCATCCCAGCTGAGCAGGGTGGGGATGGGGTGGCAGCATGGCAGGAGCAGGGGGTGGTCCTGCCTTCCCCCAACTCCTGCCTGTCCCTCACCAAAGTGTGCAGTGGCACCGGGCACCCACTCTGCCTGGACAGGAGCTTGGGAGCAACTCCTTGGGCATGGCAGGATGTTTGGCTGCCAAAGTCCCTCCAGATGCCGACACACGCCGAAGGGCTTCTTGGCACCAAGCCTGTCACCTCCATGTGCACCTGATGCACAGAGATGGGGAGAGGCTGCCACCAGTGTCTCTGGGGACACTAAGTCCACCGATGTGACACTTCACATCTCCCCCAAGAACCTGTGTTAGCTTGAAAGGCTGAAAAGTAGCATTTTCTGCCTGCCAGGAATTCTCCCAGTGCCCGGGAGGTGCTGAGTTCCCGCACCTGCGGGTGCTGCGTCCCGACAAAGGCTGCGGCAGTGCCGGGGGATTATCCCTGCCCACCAACCCCCGGCATCGCTGAGCCATTGCAGACCTGGAATTCGCCTTCCCAGGAAGGCTGCCAGGGTGTGACTTTATCTGAGACAGAGAGGAGAAGGGGAAGAGAGAGGGAAAGGCAGAGGAAAGCAGCAGAACCTAAATATAAACGCATCTCTGGAGGCCGGTAGGTGCGGGAGCAGTAGGCAAGTTTTGCATCACCGGTAATGAAGCATCCTGCCCCGGGAATGCTGGGGTTGCCATGGGAACGGGGTGAGAGCAGATAATCCTGGCCACCCATTCTGACCAGGCTCTGCTGACCCGTGAAATAATTTACATGCTGAGATGTGTTGGAGACAAACCCCATGGCTGGAAAACACCAGTGATGGCAGCAGCAATGGGGCAATGGAGCAACCTCAACTCCCTGGCACAGCCCAGGGCATGGAGATGACCTCCTGGGCCTGGCACTCACTGCCAGGCCACGTGCCCACAGCTCATTAAATGGGCCCAAACCATTTGATTATCCAATGCAAAATGAAGCAACCAGAGATTAAATCTCCCTGGAATGCAGCAACTTCCAGGGCTGCCCTGTGCTGCTGCACCCGACGTTGCTGAAGCCTCACAGCTGATGAATAGTTTAAGGCATTTCGATAATGCTGGTTTTTAGGAGACTAAATTGCATCTTACTTAAATAGCTGGTGTAATTCTTCCATGAGAATTTGTACAGAAATTGCTCCAATCACTCTCTACATCTCCAAATAATATTGCAAACCAACTGCTGCACGACTGCCTTTCATAAATTAAACAGCCAGCTTCAATATTTTCCTTGGGTTTTTAAGACTGAGATAAAAGTGAGCTGGAGAGGTAAGAAACCCTAATGGACTGTGAACATGGGTGGTTTACACGCCACTATTTATTGTCCTGTTCAGCATGACAGGCAATTGCTATTTTTACTAAAATCTTTAGAGTCTGAAATGGAGTGAGAGTGAGCATCCCTGCAGCCACAGGGCTGTTCCTCCTGCTCCTGTGGCTACAGCCACTGTGGCTCCACAGCCCCTGGGTTCCAAGCAGACACCTGCCCTGGTTTTCAGCATCCCAGGGACCACCTCACCTACCCTTGTCTCTCCCAACAGTTGCTATTTGCTGCATTCATTACACAAAACCCAGGGGAAAGGGCTGTTTTCCCCCAGGAAGCCAGGTCTCTTGGCCACAGCTCATCCCATGGTCAGGGTGTCTGAGGTTGGTGCCAGGCTCACACTGAGCAGCCACAGCTGCCTGGTGAGGGCACGTGGGGCCTGATTGGATTTTAAATGAAAATGCAAATACTCCTTGGGGTTTACACTAGTAGCAAAAAGGCACCACACGGTGGGGAAACACTGCAGGGATTTCTCTGCTTTTGATGATTTTCCTCTTGCTTTCCAGCATGTAAAATGCTCAGGTCCTTCCAGCAAAATTCATCATCACTTGCTCTCCTAGGAAGCCAGAACCTGCTTCGTTCACCTCCAGAGACCCTTGGAGCTGCCACCTGCACCAGCCACCACTAAGCAACGTGGTTTTCCAATCAAACAGGTTTCTCCAATCAAACAGGTTTCTGATGGCTGGGATAATAAAACAGCTTCAGAAACAAGCCCAGAGACTGGTGCCAGCACTGCCACATCCCTTCTGGCCTCCCATCACACGTCAGGCCACACACCACTGCATCAGCACCTCATCATTTGCTCCTTTAACCCTAACCCGACTATGACCAAAAAACCCACCCCAAAATCATGGCCCATCTCCTCACAAGGCAGGGGACACATGTGAGGTGGTCCCATCCCCCCTTGCAGCCTCTGCTGCTCACCCATCAATCCCAGGCTAAGGGCTGGGCTGGTTTTCCCCATCCAAAGCCCAGTGCAGAGCTCAGAAGGATCTGCAAGCCAAGCAGAGCTCTGCAATGTGCCATTTGCACCAAAGCAAATGACATACAACAATAATTAGCGAAGATTACATAGCAATTAACATGATTATAATTATGCTAGTTGAAATAATTTATACAATAAAATCCTCACATGCACTGCAACACATGGCTGGGGAGGAAAGTGGGGCTGGGATGCTTTTCCTGGTAGCTCCCAAATAAAGCCAAGACAACTCCTGCTCAGGGAGAGACAAGAGACTGGCCTAATTTCTGCCGGAAGAGGATTTTCTTGTCATGCTGTCATCTACAGAAGAGCTCCAAGTTTCCCATATAACGATTTGCTTTTGACACCATAATGTTTAAAAATAAATGTGTCTGATCCCCACCAGCCTTGAGACCCAAGCTCTGGCTTTTGTGAGCTGAAGCAGAAGGGGAAGGGATGCTGGGGGGTGGCAGGGAATGCCAGGGTGATGCCAGGGCTTCAGGTGCTGCAGAAGCCAAGAGGCAGGACCCCATATTGCAGACCCCTTCCTCTCTGCACCCCAGGATCAGACCCTCAGTCACAATGCAACCCCAACCTGCCTAACCAGGGGCAGAAGGAAGTTTTGAATCGTCTTCCTAAGAAAAAATATCCTGGTGGTTTATTCCAGCCCTGCAATGTGCTGTAGTCATTGAGGCTTAGCCTGCTGGCCAACATTTTGTACAAGCATTTAAATAGTAGGGAATTAAAGAAAATATTAACCAAATCTGTGATTCCTGTGCACTTGCTCTGACAATAACAGCTTCTCTGCTTTCCTCTGGCTTTCGGCAGCTGTTTGTTCAGGAAATATTCCACATGTAGTGCTGAGAAGTGAATGCTTGGAAGATTCATTTTTCATTACTGGCTGCTTGTGTAAGACAAAGGAATCTTAATAAGGAAGAGCTCATTTCACTGATCTCATTTTTATTACCTTACTAGTCTCTTTGTCTGTTTGTTTGCATTTCATACAGAAGCCTCTCTAATATTTTCACCTTGGATTAGCTGAAGCTCAGCACAGCCACGACACCAGGATCTGCAGTTTGCTGTTTCGTGGCCCCCAGGATGGAGGAGATTGTCACACTCTTTCCAGGTCGAGGTACAAACTTGCACCCCAGGATCAGACCCTCAGTCACAATGCAACCCCAACCTGCCTAACCAGGGGCAGAAGGAAGTTTTGAATCGTCTTCCTAAGAAAAAATATCCTGGTGGTTTATTCCAGCCCTGCAATGTGCTGTAGTCATTGAGGCTTAGCCTGCTGGCCAACATTTTGTACAAGCATTTAAATAGTAGGGAATTAAAGAAAATATTAACCAAATCTGTGATTCCTGTGCACTTGCTCTGACAATAACAGCTTCTCTGCTTTCCTCTGGCTTTCGGCAGCTGTTTGTTCAGGAAATATTCCACATGTAGTGCTGAGAAGTGAATGCTTGGAAGATTCATTTTTCATTACTGGCTGCTTGTGTAAGACAAAGGAATCTTAATAAGGAAGAGCTCATTTCACTGATCTCATTTTTATTACCTTACTAGTCTCTTTGTCTGTTTGTTTGCATTTCATACAGAAGCCTCTCTAATATTTTCACCTTGGATTAGCTGAAGCTCAGCACAGCCACAACACCAGGATCTGCAGTTTGCTGTTTCGTGGCCCCCAGGATGGAGGAGATTGTCACCCTCTTTCCAGGTCGAGGTACAAACTGCCTCTCACAATGTCCACAGTCAGTCCAGTAAGTTATTCTTACTAATCCCCAAGCCTACATACCTGCTCTTTTATTATTAACCCAGGGTATTTCAGCTCAGAAATATGATATTAGCCTTAACTTCTGATTTGCTGCCGTTCGTTTGCAGAGCTGGGTCATTTGGACCACAGACCCCCAGGCAGTGCTGAGGTGTTACTGCCCTGCTGGTGCTGGGGTGGGGCACGGGGTCATAGTGAGCTCAGCCAGCTGCTCTCAGGGCTCCCACCCATCACCCCATGATGAAATGGTAACCCACAGTCCCTATGAAACCCTGCCTGCCCAAGGCCCCTAGGGATGGACCTGCACATGAACAGGGAGCAGGCGGATGACATAGAGAACAGTTGCTGAGCACTAGCCCAGCCCCTGTCCTGATTCTGGGGGGAGTTGGAGGAAAAGCCAGCCCTGGGACTCCACAGTCCAGCTGCCTCCCCTATGGATCTCCCAGTGAGACCAGAGACCCTCCTCTGACCCCCCCACCTTCCTCCAGAGACACAGCCACCAGCCTCAGATTTACAGGACTTCTCCAAACTCGACCCACAAAACCGTTTCACACATGAAATGCAAAGAACCATTTTCTCTGTAGCTCTGTGGTGCTGGAGGGTAAAACAGGGGGCTGTCTCTGGGTGCTGGAGGGTAAAACAGGGGGCTGTCTCTGGGTGCTGGAGGGTAAAACAGGGGCTTGTCTCTGGGTCCCTCCAGCAGGCAGCCAGATGAGCTGGCCCTGATCTGAGGAGCACCCACTCAGCCCCAGGCAGCACCCCAGGGTGGCTCATGGGAGCCCAGCCAAGGCAGTCTGGCCATGGGAATGCTTGGGCCACTCTCCAACTCCCACACAGCCCATCAGCATCACCATCCAAAATTACCATATTTTATACCCAAGCTATAGAACCACACAGTGTTCCTGCAGCAGCGCAGGGTGAGCATATGGCACACACGTCCTCAAACAGGCTGCCTCGCCTCTTTAAATTATCTCTAGAGAGTGTATCAAGGGATATTACACTGCTTGAAGCATGTTTTTGATGTAGCCACTTTCATCTAGTGTTTCACTGATCCTGGCGTGGCAGTGACTACCTTCCTGGATTTGATGTTTTGGTCTTAAAATGCCACGGGTCCCCCCAGCTCCTTGCTGTGCATCCTAAAGGAGCCCAGCCAAAGTGCCCCCCCCCCCTCCAGGATCCTGCAGCACTGCTCTCCATGAGGCGCTTCCCCGTCCCCAACAGCTGGGTCTGTCTCTGCCAGAGGTGGTCATGCCTGGGACAGGCTGGGGTCCCTTCCCTGCAGCCCTGGGTGCTGCTGCTGTCGATGGACCAGCCCGAGAGGCTCCCAGCCACGCTGGTCCCTGTCGGGGAGGAGCCACCCACAGGTAACCCCAGCCAGGACCTGATGCTCTCTGTGGGCTCCAGGCTGAGCGTGGAGCTGGCATCCCTGTGGGGAGAGATGAGCCCTCGTTAGGTCTGTGAGCACAGGCAGGAGGGGCAGGGCATTGGGAAGGGGTCCTGCTGGCAACGGCAGCTTCAGCTGGTGGGGTCTGCCCTGGCTGCTCCAGGGCAGCAGCACAGAGCAGCTCAAACAAGGTGACCTGATCCTCGTGCCAGTGCTGGTGCCAGAGCCCTTTCCCCCAGGCTTTTATAAGTGTGCTGTAGACAGTGGGCAGGGAAACCTTCCTGCTGCCTGCAGTGTCCCAGGACCTGGGCTGCAGTGACAGAGCCATTGAGACCCCAGGGACCCCCTCAGCCTCTCCCAGGGCCAGAGCCACCCCCACCCCTCCAC